GGGGGCAATCAAAAACGGTGTGGGGCAAACCAGATCCTGGGCTCTGCTGGTGTGGGCAGCAACCATCCAGGTGTGGTGAGATCTCAGGCCTTACCCACTCCCTAAGGCTGCAGGGTCAGAGAACTGATCTTCTCCAGATCACCCGCCTCAGTTGTGACTGTTCATCTGCATCAGACACAAGAAGGTCCTTGGGATGGCTGAGGTTCTCTTGGGGAATCACAGCAGTGTTGGGGATTTTACACTTGACATCAGCAGTTGGAAGTATGTCAGTAAGTAAACACAGAGCCCTTGATGAGATCCTCTCCTGTTGGAAATCAGTGTTATACCAGTGAAGCCATGCCACTTAAACTAGGATGAGGATCTGAGCTGTGTGGAAATCAGATTTATACCATTGAACTGTCGGTTCTTACCATTAGTTAATAACTTCTGAATCTGTTGGCTGATTTCATTTAAGCTTTTAAGGAGGTAAGAGTGAAGTGAAACATCTGTACTGAGATAAAGTTGAGGGGGAACCAAACTAGCTTCTGCAAAAAGACTGATGTGATCTCAAAAAATTTCTGTTTTCCTTTTGCTGTCAGCTGGCTAGCTAGTATACGTGTACAGGCCAGGCAGTCAACACACATGAAACTCTGAAATATGCAGGACTGTATTACCTGGCTTGTGGTTGGAGGACTTGGGAGGAAGTAAAGGCTGAGAAAGATTGTTTGGATGGGGAAGACCTGAAGGGCTGTTGCTGGGAAGGGACCAGGGTTTATGAGAGTTCTGGGGTGTTACGGACACAGCACACGCGTTCAGGCAAAACCAGCCCTTGTTAGTTCTGCTGCTGGCAGAGGCAAACACCAAGTTTAAGGGAGTCTTGCAGAGCTTTTGCAGCCTGGTCTGGGAGCAGTTAGCAACCAGTCTGGCCTCCCAGCTGTCCCCCATCAGGGAGATGCAAGCTGGTTTTCAAAGTCAGCACTTGTGTTATGACCCCTTCTCATGCTGTACGAGCAAGCAGGTAGCCCCGGAGGCATACATTTGCTTAACAAGTATATAAGGAAAGTCCTAGCTTTCTAAGATCATTTAACAAGCCTGGTATTTCTTAGATTCTGCCTTTCTGGATCCAGTTATAGCACCCTGTGCAGTCCAGCCCCTCTCTTTCTTTAACTCAGGCCACTTATACCACTGAGAAATAAGCACGGATTTTTCATGTATTCCTCAGATGCATTTGGCTTTAGTTCCCTCCGGCACGCACAGCTCCCGCTACCCACGGACTCATGCAGAGACTGGCTATTTATCCTGCCTTTGCTGCGAGTCCTTCCTGCTTGCCCCTTTGTCCCACTGTTGCTCAGTTTTGCTTCAGGTTTACCCCAGCGAGCACCGTCCCTAAAACTCTTGGTAGAGGAACCAGGCAGGGGGAAGTGAGGTGATCACTCGAGGCTCTTTGAGAGGCTTGTGGCGGAAGCCCCGTCTCTGTGGCCCTGGTGTGGTATGTGTCCTCGCAAGCCCCACTGGAAAGCGCTCCTCCATTTATAGCACTCTTTCTGCTGGCTGGTAACGGTTTCTGGTCTACGGACAGCG